TAGAGAACAGTTTAATATTCTCAGTTAGCTATTTTTCTTCACTTTGTATTAAAATAATTGTCATTAAACAGCATGTCTATAGTATTTTTTCAATGTAAAACTTAGGTCCAGAAAGACTTCTCTTAAGAAAAAACAAAAAAAAAATCAATACGCTCACTACATTACATTACACACGCACACGAACATATGTGTTTTCACGAGAATGAACAAAGCAAGTGAAAAACCGACAATCACGTGACAGTTATACAGAAAACGGTTACTTGGGCTTCACCAACCATTTTTTCAAGTACATTTTTGTTGTTTATTATTGGGGATTTTCTTTCTTTTGGGAGGATTTTTTTCCAATGTGATTTGTTCATATTTTTTATATTTGCCCAACTGTCCACAATTTTACAGTGCTTTCACATTTCAAAGCAACTGTGAATAATGCATACAATGGCACAAATGACTTTATGTACTCCAGAGGAAATAAATGATAGTTTCCATTATCACATCAGTCAAATAACATTTTCACACAAATCTGTTTACATTCTCTAGAATGATAACATAATGCGCTCTTCAGCAATACTGTTGTATCAACCTATAAAACGGTGTAATAACAATTAACAAAACATTTAAAAGCCTATACACTCATTTGTACCCACTAAAGTTTGTTAAAAAAACTTGATATCTCTGACATTCAAAAATAGTTATAAATATGTAAATTAATTTTTTTAAGTAAAATATTTGCATCTCCTTTCCTACTCCAGGCTTTTGAACTTCTGAGGTCAACAAGGACAAACAATACCACTAGTGTCTCTTTGCAAAAAGCTGGGTTTGCTGTCTGCAAGCAATGGTATCATTTCCATAGCAACCCCCTAACTATTAATTTTCAATTAAAGCAGACACAAAGCGGACAGCCTGAGGCTGGCAGACAGTGTCAAGAGCCCATCTCTGTAGGCAACAGTTTCACACAGCTATCAAGCGATAGGTGCCTCTTCCACAAAGCTATATCAGAGGTACGACAAGTTTGGCTGGTTAAAATGACATTAGTCTTCAGTGCAGGCCTAAATATTTCATACTAGGCTTCACCAAGCATTTATAAAGACAACAAAATACTGACCAAACCCTGAATAAGAAATTAACTAATAACTTCACATGACACACAGAATAAAAGGGAAAAATTACAGAAATGTATTAAATGAAAGAGTACGTTGATTAATGGTTATAGCACTATTTGTCTGTGGAGTGCACTGTAATCCTTAATATTGGCAATGCCACTTTTTCACTGTCTCCTAAGAATTTTTCCAGGTTTATACAAAAAATGGTTCAATAAGTATATTATATTACATAGATCAAAATAAGTTCTATGTAAGACATTTACATTTTTCCTAGATACTATGGTGATGAGTGCTGTACATATACCTGTGATAAAATAAACAAAAAGATTTTAGCAACAGGGCATTATGTAAATAATCTTTTCCCCTTCAGATCCTACTCCGTCCCTCTGTATCGTATGTAATAATGCTTTCTAGATTAAACTATTCTATTCAAAACTTCCTACTCATTGCCACTAGCTTTCAGACTATGCACTTGCTAACAATAACAGAGGTTTAGTTAACATATTTTAGATTTATTATAATATCTTCTCATTAATTCTTTGAAGTCCAACAGGATTTTCAAAAAATATTCCCTGATCCTCCTCATTTGGATCATGGCTGGCCCTACATTTTAAACCTATACAATGCCTTAATTTCTACTTGTGGCAGGTAAGCCAGGTGTGTGCAAGCAAACCCATGGAATAACATAGACCTATGAAGCCACATAGGTAGCCTAGACCTAAAGCTGCCACTGCTTGGGATTTTTCACTCCAGGGTGCACAGAAACACCCGCTGGCAGTGACAGGTATTATGTCACAGCCTGTTTTCTACCAAACAAAAGATGACAGGCAATGCAAACTGTTTTTCAAATGACAAGTTCACGTCAAATGTGTTGCTCTAATTCTGCACCCTTCCTGCCCTTTTGCCTCCAGAAACAATTATGCAAAAGAACACATAATAGGTCAGGATCCCCCCCAAACTCGATATGATCACAGTTGTAATCCTCTGGACAACTGTCAGCTCTTGCAACAGTTGGATGCTATCTCTAGCGCAGCATGATCTATAAGCAAGCCTTGCTGAGATGAGCCAATGTACTGATTTAATACCAGTCCTGAACACTACAGAAAGAGCTAACAGGAAGAAATGTGACCAGGGCATATCATCATCAAGAAATATAAATTCCAAGATACACTTACAATATTTAAGGAATTCCTTATGGATTTAACATCAGTAGCTATACATCATAGCCTTAACCCTGCAAAACTATTACTTATGTGAGAAGGCAATGAGACTACTTGAGCAAGTAAAAGTTTGAAGGATCAGGGACCATGTATTTAGAGAACAATTCTTCAGTTTTAAATCATATTTAAGCACTTGATAAATTTTAATCACAGAACACACATAACTATGTTAAAACCCACAAGACGTTTCAAAAATCAAATATAATTATATTTCAAAATAAAAATATGATCAATTATTTCCTGATACAGAAGTGATACTCACTACATTTAAACTATTTGGAAGGGGATATAGCTCGGCCTCAGAAATGTTGTACAATCCTTATTTTAACTTCATATTAATAATGGACACCCATGTATATTAAGATAAAAACTAAAATCTGTTCACATTAATGTAGTAGACTCCACATTTCTACACTTACAATAAAGGATCTACTTTGTCAAGTTGAAAAGTACAAGAAAAACCAGGTTTATTCTTCCTGATATGTTTATTCAGTTCTAGGGTGACCAGATGTCCCGATTTTATAGGGACAGTCCCGATTTTGGGGTCTTTTTCTTATATAGGCTCCTCTTACCCCCCACCCCCATCCCGATTTTTCACACTTGCTGTCTGGTCACCCTATTCAGTTCCCATTGAGGCAAATGAGAATCCTGTATATGGAAGGGGAAGGAGACTCTTTTATGCCTTTCTAAGACACACATTGGTATCTCAATTTTCCCACAGAT